GGATTGATTGATAGATAATAGATATAGAGAGATGATAGATATAGATGATGATGATGATAGATTGATAGATAGATAGATAGATAGATAGATAGATAGATAGATAGATAGATAGATGATAGATATCATGTGATTATACCAGAATCACCTGGAAGAGGGTGATTGTTGTTCCCCAAATTGGATAGATAGATAGATGATAGATAGATAGATAGATAGATAGATAGATAGATAGATAGATAGATAGATGATAGATGATAGATAGATAGATGAAACTGAATATGAAAGAGGATAATAGAGTACATAAAACTGGGCTGGAGTTAGTAAGAGGCTAGTGCAGATAGGAGAGAGGATCTAAATATGATCAGAATATATTGTATGAAATTTGCAAAAATTCAATTAAAAAAGAAAGAAATTAAGAATAACTATGATAACATTTTCTCATATTTGTATTTGTGAATATACTAAAAACCACTGAATTATACACTTTAACTTGGTAAGTTGCATGTTATGTGAAGTATAAAGTTGTTCTCTAAAGCAGAAGTCTGGTCATGTGCTAAGGGCAGTCAAGAGACAAAAATTTCAATTGTTGTAGCAACTGTGATTCAAGACAAATCAAGAAAGCCTCAGGGGAAGTGAAATCTGAGCTAATGTTTCAAGGGAAGGTAAAAGCCTTGCTTAATCTCTTCTCATTTCTGTATAGCCCTATATATTCTTTTGTTGTGTACAGGCAAGACTTGAGCTTTGATGATGTGACCCTTTTCCTGGATTGAACCACTTATTCATATTACTGTTATCAAGTAAATAAAAAAAGAACTATACACAGATTATACTACTTGAATTTCTACTTCATATTTGTTAAATATAATTGCTTTAGATATGAAAGAAAGCAGATATTTCAATATTCATATATCTCAAAATTCTGTTAAATCTTGCCATATGATTTACTAAGATTTTCATAAAATATTCTCCTTTATTTTTAGACAAAGAAAGACAAACGCAATCACCAAGGGCTAAATATCCGATATCTTAAAAAAAATTACTACCCTTACTAATAAGTATATTTCATATTAATAATTTGTATCAGATATCAGAATGATGCATGCTAAATCATAGTCGATGTCCTTTGAGTAATAGAAAACCTAGGACAATCTGCCTAGCTAAATCAGAATGTTGTTGATGTTTTTAGATTATCATTTTTCTGTCTTATTTCACAATATTTATCCACATGGACACCTATCTGAGATTCTTATATCCTTACACAGCAGGGAGAGCTGCCAAGTTAATGGTCACTAGCTGATAGTTAACTACCAGTTAGCCATTTTTCAATTAGCAATACATTTAATTCTTCAACAGATGCATGGTAATGTTTGGTTACTATACTACATATGCTGGAGATACAGCAGCAAAATAACATAAAGACCCATCCTCAGGCAGCTTGAATATAATGGCCAAAGACAAGTGGTGAGGGGAGGGGGAAGTAGATGTAGTTTAGAGTATCTGATAGAAAGGTTAGTAAAGACTTCAGAAGAGACATTGAGGTGAATCTCTTGAAAAGGTGGAAGGCATGTATATGTGTACGCACATTTGAGGGAAGGTACAGTCCATTTCCTCAAAAGAGCAGTCTTTGTAAAGTACCCCATAAGAAACAATATACCCAGATAACTGTTCTTTCTTTTAATCCAGTTAGGCAAACATAAGTTGATATATTAAATTATGACTTCCACAAGGTTCACAGTGAATCATATGATCTCTTTCTCTGGAACAAGACTTTTCATCTCTTTATCATAAGACATTTTCTCTTAAGTGACCTGTACAATGTTCCTCAGAATAGGGAAGGAGTAGAATAGGCATGAGTCTTCTGGGCCTTCTCCTTCCCTAAAGTACTGCCTAACCGAGGTGAATAGGGAAACGGGCCCACTTCACTGCAAACCTCACCAGGAACATGCCAATTCAATTTGGCAAGCTCAAAATGGCAAACACAATTTAGAATGTACAGCATCCCATACCTTGGATACTCTTAACGGCAGAGCAGAATTCCCAAGAGTTTTGAAGTTCAGCCAGTCAAAGTAAATATCTGCAGATTCTCTAGACAGAAAGCAGATACCCCATCATTGCTATACTTAGCTGCAGAGTCACTGTGGGGCCTGTGCATCAAGCACTTTGTAGAATAAATATTCTGTACCTTGCAAAGCTGAAGACCCAGCAATATATTCATTTATAGAATAAAGTCTGTGGTAAAGAGAATGAATAGTCTCTAACAAACAGAGGAAGAAATAGACATTTGGGGTATGAACAATGTCAGGAAAGCAGTGAGGGCCAACTAGTAGAGTGAGGGCTATTCTGAGTCATCTGAGTCCTGAGTTTATGATCTGGAATGGAAGTTTTGCATTGAACGTGGATTCCTTCCTCATTGCAAGAAATGCTAGTAGTTGCTATAGATACTTGGTTACACTATGCATAACTGAACATTGTTTTGGTTTTACTCTCTCTACCTTAGATTACAAGACTTTCTCCTTGTTTTGTCCCCATTCGGCGTAATTTTCAGCTCCAAGTGTGCTCCCAGGGAAGCAGTAGGTGGAAGGGGGACAGAAACAAAAGGGACAAGGACCGAGCATTGGTCCCTTTTCAACAGATGATTGAAAACTTTCTTGAAATGTTCAACCCACAGGTCTCCTGTTGACAGCTGCCTGTCCAAAACCCTGTTACCTGATCATTCCTAGCTATACACAACAAATAAATAAATAAATAAATAATAAATAAATAATTTTATTTGGAGACTTTAAAAGCCAAAATGGCAAGAGAAGATGAAGAACTGAAAAACTGAGTAAAATAATCATCAACCAGACCTAACACAAGTACATTAGGCTGTTTTTTTAAATATCATATCTTAATTTTTAATTAGATGCAAATTATTGTTAAAATAGAATATGTCTCATTTGAAGTAGAGATAAAGAGGTCAGAATATCAAAATGTCTTTTTATTAAAAACAGTCTTATCTCTCACTGTTTTCTTATTCATTTTTTTTCTTGCTTTGAGATAGGGTCTCATATAGCCTAGGCTAGCCTCAAACTCAGTATGTGGCCAAAGATGACCTTGAACTCCTGACCCTCTTGCCTCCACCTCCCAAGTGCTGGGATCATAGGAATTCATCACCACACCACGTCCTTTTAATTTATATTATAATTTTTAATAACAAGGGCCTAGAGAGTTGGTACATCAGTTAAGAACACGGGCTGCTCTTGCAGAGGACTGAGTTCGGTTCCCAGCACCCACAGGTGGTGGCTAAAAACCATCTGTAGCTCCAGTTACAAGGGATCCAACCCCCTCCTCTGACCTCCATGGGCATTGCATAAATGGATATACTTACATACATGCAGGCTATATACTCACACACATAAAATAAAAATAGTATATAAAATGTTTTTTTTAATTTTAAACAAATATAGAGAGAATATATTGAGCCATACTGTATCCATCAAAAAACCTGCAATACTTATAATTTTGAGAGTATTACTTCCTTTACCCCCTCTCTTTTACTACTGGACTATTTTCAACAAATTAATCTCATTTTCAGTAACTGAAATACCTTATGTCAATGTGCTTCAATATTACTTATTATATTTTCACAAGATAACCTAAAAGAGTTTTAGCTCAATTAAAATAGTTCAAGAGAAATTCATCAGAAAATTCCATTTCTCCCTCAATATTTTGGCTTCTTATTATAGAAGAGTAACAACAAATTTAAAAAGGAAAAAAGGAGAAATTCTAAAAATAAAAACCTAAGTTGCAAAAGTACGCAAAGGCTCAGTAAGCATGTCACTAAAAGAATCTCTCTCTACTTCTTGCTTAAGATTAGGTCACAGGTATGTGTCATGCAAACTATTACTGACAAATTTAGCAGTCAGGATTCTATTCAAGTTTGTGCTCTTTAACATTAAAGCTCATTTTCTAAATCTCACTTGGTGTGTTAGTAGTTTAACACGACTACCACCATAACCTAAAGGCAAAGATGTTTAAATAAGAGTTTGCCTCTCCTGTCTTAGAGATCCAACAGCTTTGATCCTCTCGGCTTATCCCTTTAAAATCAGTCATCCAGAAGGTTAATAAGCATTTCCAGTTAAATAATTGTATCAGTCATTCATCTATTCATTCACATATGGTGGTCAGTTATGTAGTGGAGTATTTGTTCATTCACTAAATGTTTCTAGGGTCCCATTAACATCTTCCTACTAAACCTCTCAGTATAAAGATTCTGTTAAGAAACCATATGTTAAACCCACACTCTGAAAGCTTTATGTGGGAATCAGGTAGAAATAGTTTGTAAGCTAAAATCTGGAATAGAAATGCCAATCTCTAATGCATGATTGTAAACGTGCATAGTGGCAGGATCACGGGATGGGAAACAGTGCTGGCTGGAAGGATCTCTATATGTGTATTTTTATCATCGATGTGTTGGATGAAGCGGAGAGCTGCCAGATAGCTTCTTTTCGACAGCTTGGAGTTACTGTTGGGAACAGATCCATGTATGGAAGCGAAAGCTGAAAGGCACAGATAAGCTTGGATCCAGCTATGCAGGCCATGTTTAGAGACACTTAAAGGACAAGTATCCTGGGTCCTTTCTTTCTGGTAAATTTGGAGAAGCCATCACACCAGATCTGTTTTCACATTCAGCCCACGCAGACAGCTAAGGATTGACAAAGGTAGGTGCAGGGCTTCTATGAAACTTACATAAAGGATCATTCACCACTATTCCCTCCCAAGTTCTTGATGTTCTTAAGAGACGGTGCCAGAAGAGAGAGAGAGAGAGAGAGAGAGAGAGAGAGAGAGAGAGAGAGAGAGAGAGAGAGAGAGAGGAGATATTTGGGTTGGGTTGGATTAAGTAGATTGAGGTTGGTGACTAAGACATTTAATAGCTTTCACCAGACAGAACAGTTTAGCGACGGAAGAAAAGTGACAGCACAGCTTTGTTGCCAAATTAAATGTCTCTGTCCTGGGTCACTTACCATACAGGTTTGTGTGGACGTGGTTCTTCCTTGATGTGGCCAGCCCGTTTGAGAATGGGCCACAGCTTTCCCAGGGGTTCTGACAAACCTGTGGGTTTTGTGGTGGGATGGGTGGGATGTGTCCATCTCCTTGCTTGTTCTGAAACTGGAAAAAGCTCACATGCATGGCTAGTTCTTCCTTCTATATAGGAAGAGCTGCTTGGTTTTTAAAAAAAAGCTATTATTTTTGGCAGCTGAAGTCATTTTTGCAGTGTTTCTCAGCAGCTCAGAGGTTGATTACATCTCCTTCAAAGATTCTTGGGTTGTTTTCATAAACACGGGGTCTTGCGTAAGTTGAAGTTTCTGAGACCAGCTGTATGCCCTAGATATTTCTGAATACCTTCCACATTTTTTTCTTCTTTCTTGTTAAGGGCTGAAAACTTAGGGACTTCAGAGGAAATGGTTTAAAAGATCATTATCCTTTTTTCAATCAGGCATGTTTCGGAAATAGTAGATTATAACAGAACAACAGATGCTCTATGCCTCAGGAGTCCAAGGTCAAAATGTGGACATAAAGAAAAGAGTTACAATCCTAGCATCCACACAACTGTACTGCATTTTCTAGAATACTGGTTAACTCAACCAAATACAATCCATTGCACTTTGTAATGTCATTCAAGGTAATTACCAAATTGTGGTTATTAAATAACTAAAACATTCCTATTAAAATTGTGAGCAAAGTCTGTGAATCTATCTCAAACACAGAAGTTAAGGGGAAAGTACAGATTAAAAAATACATATGTTTTTCCAAAATGGAATTATAATAATTCTCACACAGGATAATGAAATTCAAACTCTAGATTTATCTTGTTAGGAATAACATGTAATGAATCAAGTCAGAGTTGAACCAACCTTTCCTTTAGCTTAGCATTCAATTTTATGACACAGCATGCATGTGTGGGAGAATATTTAATGCAATTTTACTTCTCTGCTGAAAAATATTATATTAAAAATAGTTTATAAGCAAGCATAAGAAAAGAATAAAATGGTTTGCAATACTGAACATGGAGATGTTCTATAGGTAAACTGGATACCTGGGCAACGCTAACAGATATAGAGGAAATGCCTGCTTGTTTAGAGCTTTCACCCAAGCTCTAAGTGTTCCATTATACCAAATAGAAAGTTGGGGGAGGGGGTGGAAGAGAAAGAGGGAGAGGGTGTTGTTTTATTACACTAATAATACAATATCATTATTAAGATACTCATAGTACTAAAATATGGGTTTTTACAATGAACTATTCTTTTATACACCCATTTACATTGATAATACATTAAATTTATAACACATTTATTCTTAGCCTTTCCTCCCTGCCAAGGCAGGTTATACTTCACTGAAAAAATGCTAATATTCTAGAAGAGAGAGAAGAGGGGAGAGAGGAGGTGAGAGACAGAGAGTGATAGACGGAGAGACTGTGCCTTCTTTATTTTAAACTACCAGAGCCAAGCTGTCATAACTTTAACTAAAGTGGAACAGGCCTACAAAAGAGTGGTTCTAAAATACTTAATTACTACATACCAGCCGGCTTCTGAAAAGAAAAAGCACAGCAGGAGCCTTTGCAATTTTCCATATGTAAAAGGTCCATATAGACTATGCCACTAGTATTTGTGAACAGATGCAGTGCATACATGTCACATCTACTTTATCTCTTTTGCATACTGCCAAGCACATTTCAAGTGCACATTCCCCATGAGAAATGTCTGCTCCTGTTTTTCCTGAAGGAAACAAATTCAAGAAGCAAAATTTAAGTAATAGAAAATGATTTGCTACTATTTTTATAGGAATATGTTAACATTTGCAGATAAAATTAATGGCAGTCAAGGTGTTACCCCTGACCTGACCTCTTTTTTAAATAATATTTTTATTCTTTAAAAGTTATATACATTTTACAATTTATATCGAGTATATCCATCTATCACTACCTTCCTCCAACTCCCCCACTGCCCCTGCCCTGTCCTCCTCCAAAAAAATTCATTTACAGGAATAATAAAACACAGGTGACTGACCCGACGACCTCTTAAATATTCAACTGGGATTAGACCTAGAAAATCTTGAGATCATGTTTTGTGAGGAGAATTGGAAGAGCTTGCAGTTTCTTATAACAATGAAATAGCTTTAATGTTGTGGAGAAGACTCAGCTATGAAGCCCATTCATTCTAAGTTTAAGAAAGAAGTTGACATTTGTCCAAATAACACACAGCACAGCTTTGAAGTTTCTTCCTACATAATGGGACCAGACAAGATAGTTTGTGAGCCTGGTTTATTATATAGCTAGAAGGAAAATGGGCTTGAAGAGGTTTTAGTGGGGAACAATATTCCTGAAGGTTGAGATAATTTACAGGAAACAAAGAGCAAGTATTTCCTTTTCTGGAAGCCGATACGAAACCACATAAAGGTTTAAGAACAATACCATCAATTATTCTAAAAAATAAAATAAAACAAAATATAAAAATCTACTTGACTGAGGTGATTAAAAATGATGAGACATTGAGCAGTTCCATGCAGAGCACCAAAAATCTTAAGAACATTAAAATGAATACAAACAGCATAAGACAAGAGTAATAACCCACTGAGGAGGAATTTGAAGGCTAACAGATGACATGTTTCCACAAGTCCATGAACAGAACGTGGAAAGTCCCTAGACCTCAGCTTAGAAGTGATCTAGCTTGCCTGAGAAGCATTTCTTTCATTTGCTGAAAGTTTCATATTTTCAAGTCTCCTGGAGAGGCAGCAGAAAAAAAGTATGTATCAGGACATTCTTCAAGACATGTTCAAGACAAACAAATAATGAGAGGCAGCAAGTTCAGGTGGCACTTAGTGTTGTTGAGTAGGAAGCAGTCCTTTTCCCATTGACTTCTCCCAAATGACCTATGGGTTTCAACTCTGTCTGTACCTGAGGATACCTCATGGGCAGTGATACTCAGCTGAATCTCTGGTGAATTAAATATTCTCATGAGGTCCAGGCAAGAGTAGTTTAATCTGTAAATCAACCTCATGAAATTGTAATGTGCTGCCAAGACTGAGAACCAATTCTTCTTGCAATAAAAGCATGACATCCAGTCTAGAGTACTTTAACAAGGGAGGGCAAAGAACCTACAGCTGAAGATTATAAAATAATAATAATAAAAAGCAAACTTTGTAATACATGTCTATAAATCTTAGCACTAGGGAGAGAGAGATAGGAATAGAGCAAGCTTACAGCCAATTTGGGTTATTTAGCAGTATCCTGTCTTAAAGGAAGAGAGGGAGGAAGCAAGTAAGCAAGCAAGCAAGAAAAAGAAAGAAAGAAAGAAAGAAAGAAAGAAAGAAAGAAAGAAAGAAAGAAAGAAAGAAAGAAAGAAAGAGGAGAGAGAGAGAAAGAAAGAAGAAAGAAGGAAGGGAGGAATAAAAGAAAAAGTAGAGAAAAAAGAAGGAAGAAAGAAAGGAAGGGAGAGATGAAGGTAGAAAAAGTAAGAGAAATAGAAAGTAAGGAAGAGAGAGAAGGAAAGGAAGGAAGGAAGGAGGGAGGGAGGGAGGAGGGACGGAGGGAGGAAGGGAGGAAGGAAGGAAGGAAGGAAGGGATCACTGATGTAATCTTTGCTGACAGGATCTTCTTATTTAAAGAGTTCAGCACATGTAAAAAGAATTATTTTTATATAAATAGGATGGTTGTGGATATTTCATTCATTTCATATTCTTAAGCCTGAATCCTATGTGAACACTAACAATTATTTTTAAAATATAAAATACATATTTATGCATTATGGTTCTTAACTGTTGCTGCTAAATGAAATTTTATATTGTTTTAAAAAATTATCACACTATCTTGAAAGGGCACATTAATTCTGGTAGTAATAATTTTCAAAATGATGGACAAACTTTTTAATGATAAATTACGACATTTTTCCTTTTACCTTTCTAGTAAAAACCAAGAACTCTGGAATTCCCTTTTCAGGGTGTGATGTTATTTAGAAAATATATCAATATTAATTTACCACGTAAAATAATGTATACAAATGTATGAATAAATTCTCACTTTAGGGCTGGGGCTGTAGCTCAGTGGCTAAACTTCTTATGAGCATAAGAATCTGAGTTAAATCTCCAAAAACCACTTTAAAAAGCCTGTGTGGCAGCCTACAGTTGTAATGTCAGCACTGGAGAAGCTGAGACAGGAGGATGCCTGGGGTTTACTAATCACTCTAAATTGGCAAGTTCAAGGCCACTGTGAAACTCTGTCTCAATAAATGAAGAGAGTGACACCTGAGGTTGACCTCTGGCCTACACACACACACACACACACTCTAGGTCCTACACCCACATATACACATACATACACTAAAAGCAAACCAGAGTAAATAAATGAATAAATTAAAATCAAGCTGACTATAGACAAAATACCAAGAAGACATATATAGTCCATAGCAGAATATTTCCATGAACGCACAAATTGTCAGTGAGGTTCAGAGTCCTGCAAAAAGGGTTCCGAGAGCAACGCTGGTGGAGAGAAGCTAACACCTCCTTTAGATTTCAGGTAAGCATGAAGAAGACCATTCAAACTCACGAGTAGAGTCAGTGGTTCAAGCAGTGAGTTATGGGTGCTCTGAGTCAAACGCTCTGAGTTTCATGTGTCAGTGACTGTGTCCTCTTTTGGACAGTGAGCCCAATCACTGTCTCTGTTCCTGTAAATTAAATCATAACTATTTTAATGCAGTAAGTGGCAAATGCAAATAGTTTAGTGTAGTAACCAATTGATGTTCATATCATCCTTAACAGGCATTGTGAGTTTCTCCCAAGTCTGATTCATTCTCTGATCACTATTTGTACTAATGGAAAAGTGATCACATTTCTAGAAGAGTTATCCAGGGCTTCTTAAGTTTCTGAGATGACTCAGCACTAATACTCAGCCTCTGAGGGGGTTGACTTATGACTGTGATTGATGATAAATACTTCATACTCCTCCTACTCCAGTCACAACAAGAGCCTGAAAACTGTGACTTCAAATATCAAAAATAAACAAACACAGGCATACATATATTTGTGAATATTAAGAGACTGAATTTTAAAAGTTTAAAATATAAAGTCATACCCATCACAGGAAAGA